GAGGGTCGGGGTTACTGACCGACTTAGGGTCGCCTTGAAGCCTCCTCCTGGACTTATTGGCAACTCAGGCTTGACCTCTACTGTGAGGGGCATGCTGGCACGAATGGAGGAGGAGTCTCTGAAGACCACCTCGTTGATTCAAACCTTCCAGGATCTCAACCAGAGTCTTGGCATGTCTCTTGCTTCCAATTCGTCCATTTCCAATAAGGTGGAGGAGCTAAGCAAGTCGAAGTCCGACCTGGAGGCCAAGGTTCAAGAGCTGTCGTCCGAGCTAGAGAAGGCTAGGAAGGATCTGGAATCGGCTACCGCTAAGGCGGATGGTTTGAGTGCTGAGAAGGAGTCCTTCTCAAAGTCCATAGCTGACAAGGATGCTCAGATTGAGACACTTCGAGCTAATTTTGAAGAGGCTAGGGTTGTGGTCATAAATGCCGCAACCGAAGCCTTCGACAATGCCGTAGCTCAAGCTCGGGTTCTGAATCCCGGTCTTATCACTGATGGGATGGAAATGGCATACAACGTAAAGGACGGCGTTATTGATCCCGGATCTCCTGATTCTGGCAGTGCCGATGGGGGGAGACCAGTGCCGATATTCCAGTCACTTCTCCTCGAGCCGACCTTATGATGTAATTTTGATTACGGGGCCTTTGAGCCCCTTTTTTATTTTGTCGGAACTTAATTTCCGCCTTGGTTCGGCTTTACAACTTATGCTTTTAATGCTTTCATTTCTTCGAGATCGTTGCTTTATTTCTCGCTTACTTTTGATGTCTGAGGTTCTCTTTCGATCTCATTTTATTCGACTTGCGATTCGCCGAGGTTTTTGCTTGCCGATCTAGGATTATCTTTTGTTCGTCAACAAAAATTTTATTCCTTTAATTGATTGTGAAGCTCTTTGGGGTTTCAATTACTTGAATGGAAATCGGTATGCACGGATGACAGAAATTAAATGAATGGTCATTTTATTTGCATTTCAAACGAAATCTCTTTACAAGGTCGAGCTTAGAAGCTCATTTTATTTTTTTTGAAATAAATCTACCTACTGACTGGGCTTAATAGCTCGTCTTATTTGCGGAGAAGTAAATCTAACTATTGACCGAGCTTAATAGCTCGTCTTTATTGTCTCGAACTTCGGACTAGAAGCCTAACTATAGTAGACCTTCAGCTTGTCCGTGTTCTAAGTCCTATTTACTGGTTTCTTGGAGATAGTTTCCAAGGTGTAGGCTCCATTTCCCAGATTATCCTTGATCTTATAGGGGTCTTCCTAGTTTGCGACGAGCTTCCCATCTCTGACATTCTTGTTGCCGATGTCTGCTCTTCTTAAGACTAAATCGTCGACCTGGAATGACCGAGGTCTGACCTTTTTATTGAATCTGACAGTTACTAGACGTTTCGCCAGCATATTCTTGTATCTGGCATTCTCCCTGCATTCATCCAGCAGGTCGAGTTCCTCAAGGAGTGCCTCTTGTTTTGAGCTTCAGTTCCTTGTAACCTTTGTACCCTTCTCCAGGATGGTTCGTCGATCTCAACCGGGATCATGGCCTCGCAACCATATGTCATTTTGAAGGGGGTTTCTTCTGTGGCAGATTGGGCGCTCGTCCTGTAACTCCACAAGACGAGGTGTAGTTGCTGCACCCAATTTTCTTTAGCCTCAAAGAGCCTTTTCTTTAACCCGTTGATGATCACCTTGTTGGCAGACTCGGCTTGTCCGTTAGTCTGAGAGTGTTCAACTAATGCAAACCGATGTGTGACTTTTAAGTCGGTCATTAATTCTTGGAACTTTTTATCAGTAAACTGTGTTCTGTTATCCGTGATGATCTCAGCAGGAAGTCCAAATCGGCTAATCAGGTTTCTTTCAAAGAATCTTCGTATCCTTGCCGAGGTAATGGTGGTGAGGGGTTCAGCCTCGATCCACTTGGTGAAGTAGTCAACGGTCACTATCAACCACTTGAGTTGTCCTTCAATCGCAGTAAAAGGCCCTAGTAGGTCCATTCCCTATTTGAAGAACGACCATGGTGCCGTGATAGTTTGCAGCTCTTCGGGGGGGGGGCGCGAAGGATCAACGCGTGCTTCTGACATTGTTCGCACCTTTTGACGTGGTCCTTCGCATCTGCTTCCATGGTGGGCCAGTAGTATCCTGCCCTTAGTGCTTTTCTGGCTAAAGTTTTTCCTCCTATGTGGTGTCCATTTATGCCCTCATGTATCTCGGCCAGTACATACTCCACTTCATTCTTATTGAGACATTTCAGCATAGGTGTATAGAAGCCCTTTTTGTAAAGTTGCCCCTCTACTATGGTGAAGCAGGCCGAGTTCCTCACGAGTTTTCTGGCTTCTTGCGTTTCGTCTGGCAGGATTCCTTTTTCCAGGTAGGCCGCAATTGGCTTCCTCCAATCCTCAGTCTCGGTTATCACCATGACGCAGGTCGGCTCCAGGATGCTCTGTTGTATTACAGTGTGGTGGTTTCCTGAGCCTTTCGAGCTAGCGAGTTTAGATTGGATGTCGGCCCTATTATTCTCATTCCGAGGTATGTACTGGATTGTTACCTCGTCAAACTCAGCTAATAGCTCCCTGACCTGTTGGAGGTACTTCATCATGAGAGGACCCTTGGCTTGGTATTTTCCTTCCACTTGTGAGGTAACCAGCTGTGAGTCACTCATTATTTTGATCTTCCTTGCTCTGTGCTCCTTTGCCTGCACGATCCCGGCAATGAATGCCTCGTATTCAGCTTGGTTGTTCGAGGTCGGAAACGCTAAGTGGAGGGAGTGTTCGATGGACACTCCTTCCGGGCTTTCAACGATCACCCCGGCTCCACTCCCCTTAGAGTTCGAGGATCCGTCGACGTAAATTGTCCAGAGACCTTCATTCCCCTCTCCCTTTTCATTGGGCGGGGTTAGCTCCAGGATGAAGTCTGTCAAAGCTTGCGACTTAATTGCCTATCGAGGCTCATACGATATGTCGAACTCGAAAAGCTCGACAGCCCAGTTGATCATCCTTCCTGCTAGGTCCGGCTTGTGAAGTACTTGCCTGATGGGTTGATTTGTTTGCACGATGATTTGGTGACCTTGGAAATAAGGTCGGAGCCTCCTTGCCGTGGTAAGTAGGGCGAATGCGACCTTGACGATTTGGTGACCTTGGAAATAAGGTGGTAGCCTCATTGCCGTGGTAAGCAGGGCGAATGCAACCTTTTCGAGCTTCTGGTAACGAAGTTCTGGTCCTTGCAATGTCCGACCTACAAAATAGATCGACTGTTGTGACTTGTCGCTCTCCCGTACCAGAGCGGCACTGATGGCCTCTTCCCCTACTGATAGGTACAAGATCAACGTTTCTCCGGGCTTTGGTTTTGACAACACGGGGGGGTGGCTAGGCAATTCTTAATATTTTCGAACGCCTTTTTGCATTCTTCCCCCCATCCGAACTCTGCTTCTTTTTTTAGGAGCTTGAAGAAAGGCAAAGCCTTCTCTGCCGATCTAGGCAGAAATCTGGTCAGGGCCGCAAGGCAACCTGTGAGCTGTTGAATCTCTTTTTTGTTTTCAAGCTGTTTCATCTCAAGGAAGGCCTTGCATTTGTCGGGGTTCACTTCTATTCCTTGGTTGGTAAGCATGGAGCCTAGGAATTTTCCAGCTGGTACCCAAAAAGCACATTTGGCCGGGTTCAGCCTCATCTTGCGAGCTCTTAGCTGCTCAAAAGTCTCCCTGAGGTCGGCGATATGTGCCGAGATTTGCATTGACTTGACGATCATGTCGTCGATGTATACCCCCAAGTTTCTTCCGATTTGTGCTTGGAACACGCGGTTCATCATCCTTTTATAGGTCGCCCCTGCATTTTTGAGGCCAAAAGGCATAACGTTGTAGCAAAAATTTCCCTTTTCTGAGATGAAGGCGGTTTTTTGGTGGTCGTCTGGATGCAATGGGATTTGATTGTATCCATAGTATGCGTCCATAAATGATAGCAGCTGAAATCCTGACGAATTGTCAACTAGCTGGTCAATGCTTGGCATTGGGTACGAGTCTTTTGGGCAGACCTTATTGAGGTCGGTGTAATCCACACAGATCCTCCACTTTCCACTTGGTTTCTTTACCATCACCACGTTAGAGAGCCACGTGGTGTACTGTATCTCCTTGATGAATCCGGCTTCTAGCAGCTCGTCGACGTGTTCACTTAAAGCTTGACATCGGTCAGATCCTATCCTCCTTTTCTTTTGGGACACTAGCTGCGATCCGGGGTACACGGAGAGCTTGTGACAACAGAAAGTTGGGTCTATTCCCGAGATTTCCGAGGCTTTCCATGCAAATACATCGAAATTATCTTTTAACAAGGAAATGAGTTCTTTTTTGAACTCGACCTCTAGGGTCTTCCCCACCTTGGTACGTCCTTCGTCGTCCTTTCGAATCTCGACGTCATCCAGCTCCCCTTGGGGTTCTGGACGAGGTGCTTGGAGCTCCTCTCTCATATCCAGTTCGATCAAGTTTATCTCGCTTCCTGATGCCCTTAAGGACTGTTCCATGGCTCCTCCATCCTTAAGCCAGGAGGAGATGATGAGCCTCCTTGATGGACTCGCAGGGTCTCAAAATAGCACTTTCTTGATTCTTCTTGATCACCTCTTATGGTGACAACCTCGTTGTTCATCCCAGGCATTTTCAGTGCTTGATGTTTGGTGGAGATCAGCATATCCCATTCATGGATTGTAGGCCAGCCAATGATCACGTTGTAGGACGATGAGGTGTCTACTACGACGAAATGAACCCTTCCAGCTCGGAACGAATCCTTCGTGCCTAAGGTCAATTTTAGGTCGATGTAGCCTTTCGGAGGGGACGTCGCTCCGTTGAACCCGACCAGTTCGGTGACACATGGTTTTAAGTCCTTCTCATCCAGGTTCATCCTCTGGAAAGCATCCCAGAGAATTATGTCTGCCGAGCTTCCGTGGTCAATGAAGATTCTCTTAACCCGACAGTTGACTAGCACTCCAGTGATCACCAATCCGTCAGTGTGTCCAGATACGACCATTGCTAGTTCCTCCTGAGTGAAGAACAGTCTTGGGGGGCAGGATTGCTGGCTTTCCCTTTGAAGGTCGGCCTGTCTCTTACGGACATGACCTCCTTCAGGTACTTTCTTCTGGCGTTGGCCGAGTCTCCTCCCCCGCCTAGAGCTCCACTTATCACGTTGCATTCGAATTCGGCTTCGGGAAAGGCCTCGTCCTTATCATCGACCTCTTTGCCTTTGGCAGGTCGGTCTTGTCTTTGATCCTTTCTGTGTTCTCTCTTCGGGCTTCGACTTCTGCTTCGGCTTCTTTGCCTTCGCTTATTATTTTTCTTTCCCTGTGTTCGGATGATATATTGCTTCAACCTCCCCTCTCTGACGTGCTTTTCAATAGCACCTCGAAGGTCCCAGCAGTCATCCGTGATGTGACCATTTTGATCATGGAAAACACAGTATTTGTTTTTGTCCAGCCGGCTCTTGGCTTTGAGTGGTCGAGGTCTCTCGACGTTGCGCATCTCGGTCTGGGCCACCTCTTTCCATATCCTGGATCTGGACATGTTCAGGGGTGTGTAATCGTCATACTTCCTTCTTGGAGATCGATCGTCCGACCTCTTATCGTGAGAATCCTTCCCTTTTTTGGATCCTTTCTGGTCCCGTTCTTTGTTATTTTTCTTACTCAGGCTCCGACGTATCGGACTTCGCCCTCGAGACTCGACGTAGACCTTTTGCATATCTTCCACATCAATGTATTTATCCGACCTTCGTCGGAACTCCTCCAGATCATTCACCGGGTTCTTATAGATTGATCTCGCAAGTGGAGAGTCACCATCTAATCCCGAGATGATTAAGTGAAGGTGCACCGCTTCAGTTAAACCTCGGACTTTGAGTGTGGCATCCTTGAACCGGTCGAGGTACTTCCTCAGCGATTCATTCTCTTTCTGCCGAATTCTTCCCAGAGCGTAAGCCGGCATTTGATGCACCTTGCTTATTGCAAAGTTCAGTCGGAAAGTCCGGGCTAGGTCCTCAAACGAGTTGATTGAGTTCCTGGGGAGCCTGGTTATCCAGGTCATCGCCTGACCAGTCAATGTTGTCGCAAAGATTCTGGCCTTAATAGGTCCAGTGATCCCGTTGAACAACATCTCGGTCTTGAAAGCCGCTAAATGGGCTTCTGGGTCCTGACTCCGTCATACAGAGGTATCCTGGTGCTCTTGAATCTCGAAGGTATAGCCAGGTTCATGAGCCTCTCAGTGAATGGGCTATCATTAGCCTCCTCATCATCTAGGTAGTTCTCGTCATGGTTTTCGTTCGGGCCTCCACCATTCCGGTCGTTGCCGAAGTTTGGGTTCTGCACATTCTGTGCGTGTCCTTCAACTGTGGCCGCGTTCTGATGTCGCGGGTCACCATCAACAGCACGACCATCTCTTCCAGGTTGGCCTTCAGCATTTGGATGTCGGAGGTCTTCAGCATTCTGATGTTGGACGCCTTCAGCATTCTGATGCCGAGGTCCGTCGTTTGCGACCTGACCGGTTCCTCTGGGTTGGCCTTCCACGTTGCGATTTCTCAGTTCGGTCTCGAATGTCGCCATTCTTTGGGCATCTAGTCCCCGTTGGGTCAGGAATCTATTCTCCATCTCTTGCAGCCTTTGAAGGATTGCATTCATGGCCATCGTGGTCACGTCTCGCGGTGGCTCACTTGTGTCGAGGTGGGTGAACTGAGGCCGCTGTCGTATTGAGCTGGGTTCTGGGGGTTGGTCCCTGAGTGCCGACCTCTCCGACCTGTACCTCTACCAGCACCGGGTTCGCGTCCAATTGGAGCTGTTCTAATGCAGATTGGTGTTGAGGCATGCCATAAAGCTGAGGCTGAGATTGATGCGGCGGCATTTGGGCGGTGCTAGATGTTGAACGAGTTTTCATCATCGTGAAATGGGGGTCGAAATTTATCGTTCCCACAGACGGCGCCAATGTTAGGTCCTGGATAGACTGTATTGCTATACCAGATAGTATGCGCTCAGAGATAATGTATATCAACTGTATACTAGGCTTATAGCCGAGGTCCCAATCACTGCGCACAAGCAATAAGCTTATAGCCAAAGGGTGGGTGTGTGCACAGTGTGTGCAGTATTAGTAAATAGGTTGAATGAATTTACCTGGGGTCTTTAAGCTCTTATTTATAGGATTACCTTCCTAGACTTGGGCCTTTTGAGCTCCCCCAATTGCGATAGGATTCAACTCCCTTTCTGTTGGGATGTGATCCTCATCTTGTGCCATTTGGCTGTTTAGAGTTGTTGAGATGTTAGTGACTCTATATCTGCTTAGATATTCTAGTAGGTAGTTGGGATATGATATTCACATCCATAACAATTTTCATATACAGAATTTTTTTTTTTTTTTTTTTTTTTTCATATAGTAGATTCTATTCCAATCCATCTCCCGCAGTTTTCTTCTTTCCTTCGCATCTTTCTACACAGTCCGCAGTCGCACCCACTGCAATATATTTTTTAAATTTTATTAAATTATTTAGGCTAAATTAATGAGTTTATCCAATTATTTATTTTTTCACTTTGTCAGCATAGTTGGACCACTTAGAACGTAACCGTTTTTTAATCTCCCCAGCCTTCACACTTGACTCGTCCATTCCATTCTTCTCATTCCGATCGCCAATAACTTAACATAATATGAACCTTAATCTAATCGCCACCGTTATCCCTGGTTGCGCCGCCACTCTACGCCGCCTCTTCGCCACCGTCGAATCCACCAACAGCTCCGCTTTCTCTCGTTTACATTAACAAACAACACACAGACACATATATATGCATCCTTTCTGCTGCGTCTCCGCCATCTCCGATCACTCTTCCGCCGGCTTCGACATGCCTCCTCTTCCCCCCGCCGCCGCCGTCAGATCCGATTCGGTTCTCCTACCCGCTAACCATAACCATGGTCAAATCAACCACTGCATCACGAACGGCAGCGACTGGAGCCGCTCGAGTCAACAGCAACAGCAGCAGCCGCCGCAGGCGTCTGCGGCGGCGGTGGACGTGAAGATCAACGACCTTGTCGGGAATGGAATCTCCGGGATACTGCACAAGTGGGTGAACTACGGCAAAGGATGGAGGCCTCGGTGGTTCGTGCTCCAAGATGGCGTTCTCTCCTACTACAAGATTCACGGACCCGACAAGATCGTCGTCAATCCCGAAACTGAAAAGGGATCCAAAGTCATCGGCGAAGAGTCCATGCGAATGATCGCTCGAAACCGCAATTCTCGTCATTCCAATCACCCCAACTTCCACCGTCGACGAAAGCCCTTCGGCGAAATCCATCTCAAGGTTCCTTCATCAATTCATATATTTGTTGATTTTGTTCTTCCGTTTTTTGTTTTTTTGTTTTTAATGCTTATTTTCGGTTGTAATTTCGTTTCGGTTACCTGTTCTATCAATAATTTTTGTTGCTGTTTGCTAGGCTAGAGGAATATCAGTTATCAAACTAGAAATTCAGAATCCCCTAATTGCGGTTTTAATTAACAAATCTTCACTTATGTATGAATCTGAGTATCTGATTTGTGAATTTATCTAATGTTATTTCCCCCCTGGATTTTTGATGCAACTAGTTATTAATATATCATATGAAATTTTGGTATATAGAACATTTGGTGTGGTAGCATAATAAGGCTCTGAGGCTGGGGACTTGTATTTATTTATATATTTCGCATCATGAGTTTTCAGTTCTGTTTGTCACAGTCATCACTGTGATTTTGTCCGTTATTTCACTGGGAAAAGGCTTTTACTGTAGGTTTCTACCATTCGTGAGAGCAGATCTGATGACAAGCGCTTTTCCATTTTCACTGGGACAAAGAGACTCCACTTGAGGGCTGAGACTCGTGAAGATCGAGTGGCATGGATGGAGACCTTGCAGACAGTGAAAGATATGTTCCCCAGGATGTCCAACAGTGAACTGATGGCTCCGGTGGACAATGTGGCTATTTCAACTGAGAAACTGAGGCATCGGCTTCTGGAAGAAGGTGTAAGTGAGCCAGCCATTCAGGATAGTGAGCAAATTATGAGAAATGAGTATGCAGCACTACAAAACCAGCTTATGTTGCTTAAGCAGAAGCAGTTGACCCTAATCGACACTCTGAGGCATTTAGAGGTACATTTAATGAAAAGTAGTAAACTCCAAGCCAATAAAACTGGCTATTCTTGTTGGTTTTCTACTATTACGCAGAAAGCTGGTCATTCTTAATACTCTTAAAAATTCTCTGCAGAAAAGGGGTGTTTTTTTTTTTTTTGGGGGGGGGGGGGGTCCTATTTTTTGGGTTGTACTTTTGTATTTTTACAACCAAATGCCAAATACTCTAAGGTGTGTTTGGTACAGGAGAAATTTTTTGGTGACCGGGAATCATGATTAATGGGAATTCAGTAGAAATTGAGTTTACTTGGAATCTTACGAAAGATGTGTTTGGTTCGCCAAAATATTACCGGGAATACTGGGTAAAAATTACTCATTCCATATTTGGTTTAGAACGAAATATGACTTGGAATATGAGGTTATTTTACAAAAATAACCCCAAACTATTTTTACTTTTGTAATTGATAGATTGGGTCTAGATTTTTATGTGTATTGGGGTATTTTTGTCTCAAAATTTATTGTTGTGCTTTCCCTTTACTTGGTATTCTGAATTACCATATTATTTTTGGTAATCTGAATAGTGACTTTTCTTTATAAATCAAATTACCGGTAATCCTTGGATATCCGGGAATCGTAATTTATTCCTTCTACCAAACATGGTAATTACATTTACCAAAGAAGGATTACCGGTAATCCTCTCCAAAAACTTGAACCAAACACCCCATAAAGGCTTCTTTTCACTTCACAGTAGTGCAACTGTAACTAATAATATTTTTAAGTAGGGATTTGGTTTGATAGTGTCTCTTAGATATAAATCTTAAATCTAGAAAGAATGAAGTAATGGTTAGTCGGCTTATATGAATACTCAAGGCTCTTTTATTATTTCTTACTCCTGGTGACGGTTTTGAACATATTAGCAGCAGAATCCTGATAGAAATTATTCCTTCAACTTATTATATATATGTTCAAACTGAGGGCTCTTTACCAAAACGTGTTTAGGTTGAAATATGACACTCGGATATATTTCTGGGTAGTGTTTATTTATCTTGCTCTAAAAGCTTTCCACTAGTTAAACTCCTTGCAGTGGAGCAGCGGATTGACTAATCATGAAATACTTTACCTCATCTTGAGTGTTCTTACAATTTGTTTTCTCCAATAATCTCTTGCATTTGTTTATATTCCACAAATTAGCAAATAATTAGTGAAAAAAATGGTTTCTTTTGTCCTGTTAGACAATGTTCAGAGCTGGAATGATCTTGCATCATATGTGAAGAGCTTGGTAGGTTGTGCATAGAATGAAAATTTGTATGAGCATTTTTTCTCATTAAATCTATTAATACTACATTGCTGATCCTCCCCCAGCTCCCCAAATTGCTGTTTTTATTTTAATTATGAGAGAGGTGGGGGTAGTTTTGAAATGGAAAAAATGTTTCAATATTTCTTGGTAAGGTTGTGTCCATTAATGTTAAGCTCCATTGAATTACCCATGTTTTAAAGGGCCCCCCCCCCCCCCCCCCCCGTGTTGAACAGAATGGTTTTCGTTCTTCCTTAAGAGTTTCTTGTTCTCTCTCTCTCTCTCTTTTAATGCTTCTTTCTTCTTATTTGTTGACTTATTGATTGAGGGTAAGTTTCTTTTCCTTGTGTAGTAATAAACTTTTATTTATACTTCATTACTGTAGACAGAAAAGGTTGATCTGGAGAACACTGTTGTTGATGAGAGCCAAAGACAATTGAATGATCAAGAGGCTTCGTCTAGATTAAGGCAGGAAAAATCTAGTGGTAAGTGTTTGAAACTAGAATTACGTACATGCCAACTGTTGTCTTTGATGCACTGATTTTTTATGAACTCTTTACATTTTCTTTCATTTTCTTTTTGAAACTAGAATTACGCACATACCAACTACTGTCTTTGGTGCACTGATTTTTTATGAGCTCTTTATATTTTTATTCATATGTTTAAGATCTTTTGATTGCTTGATTTGGTTTTAGCTATGCATTTTCTTGAAATTAGAAGTGCGTACATGCCAACTATTGTCTCCAATGCACAGATTTTTTATGAACTCTTTAAATTTTCTTTCATTTTCATTTTTGATCCAGAAGCAAGTGCAAGTGAGTCTGAGGATGATAATGAGAGAAATGATGCAGCAGAAGAAGAAACAGATGAAGATGACACCGCCTTTTTTGACACTCGTGATTTTCTGTCATCCAGTTCTTTTAAAAGCAATGGATCTGATTTTAGGGTTTCATCTTTCTCTTCAGATGATGGACTCCATGCAGTTGAATCAGAGGAGGATGTAGATCCTTTGATTAGATCTGTTGGGACCAACTATCCTTATATTAAGCGGCGTAAGAAATTGCCTGACCCTGTTGAAAAAGAGAAAGGTGTCAGTCTTTGGTCAATGATTAAGGATAATATTGGGAAGGATCTAACTAAAGTTTGCCTTCCTGTTTATTTTAATGAGCCTCTCTCCTCTCTGCAAAAATGTTGTGAAGAAATGGAGTATTCGTATCTTCTAGACCGAGCATATGAGTGGGGAAGGAGGGTAAGTCTGGATTTGGCACCCAAGTTTCTTATTGCCCTGCCATTTTTGTGGTAGTATAATCTTTCATTAAGTTAAAATTAAGCACTCAAATACGATAGTTTCATTTGATATGAGAAAAATGTCTCACTTTGCTCAGTTTTTACATGCTGTGTGTTCTTCAATGTATTACTGGGTGCAATTGTTCCAACTTTTCTAAGTCGTTGATTATGTCATGCAGGGTAATAGCCTCATGAGGATTCTCAATGTTGCTGCTTTTGCTGTATCTGCCTATGCTTCAACTGAAGGGAGAATTTGCAAACCGTTTAATCCGTTACTAGGGGAAACATATGAGGCTGACTTTCAAGATAAAGGCCTTCGATTTTTTTCAGAGAAGGTCTGATCTAACCCTAGACATTGATGTTATTAATACATGATCTTTTTATTGGTTATTTTAATCATATATGTGTTTATCATGTATTATTTGATGCCTTAGTAAAGTAGCATAGAGCAGGTGAAAGCTTCATATATATCTTTTAGTACAAAAATGTATAGCGGGAGGGGAGGTTGCCCCATTCCAAGGTTAGGGAATGCAACAAGCCTTAACAAGTGCTTGTAGTGGTACTTATTGAAAACCTACCATTGAAGGACCACCAACAATATTTGAAAGGTGTATGTGTGTGAGCGTATGACTTTGTTATTTGTGGTTGTTATATGATGTATTTGAATTTATTATTTGATGAAATTCCTATGTATCACTAGTCATGCTTATTTGAATTCCTTAGAACTTCTTGCTTAAGAATGAAAAGGAAAAAGTGTTCAGGATATGAAGAAACAATTTGAAGTAAGAACTCAAGTAGAATCTTAAAACTACTTCACTTAATTTGATGAATAAAAGTTGACGTGATTGGGTGCCTAAGTTCCATAGAACCCTATAAAACATAATAGAATTTGGATTTGTATTCAACAAGGGATATGATTATGCTTTTTACAATCTGTGTATTGAAGATTATTAATATTTCTGCTTCCTCTCAGGTCAGTCATCACCCTATGATAGTCGCATGTCACTGTGAGGGTACAGGTTGGAAATTTTGGGGAGATAGCAATTTAAAGAGCAAATTTTGGGGCCGATCAATTCAGCTTGATCCTGTTGGTATTTTGACTTTGGAATTTGATGATGGTGAAGTATTCCAATGGAGTAAGGTATATTTAACTGCTTCTACTGCTAATTTGTCCAATGGCCAAAAGAAAATGCTACATGTCTGGATTTGGTTCTCAACTGAAATAGGTCTGTTTTTTCAGGTTACTACATCAATATACAATCTCATTTTGGGAAAGTTGTATTGTGATCACTATGGTACAATGCGCATACAGGGAAACCGAGAATACTCGTGTAAACTGAAATTCAAGGAACAATCTATAATTGATCGAAATCCTCACCAGGTGCTTTATACATGTTTGATGGATTCCATCTTTCCAGATATAACAAAGCCTATGCTCTGATATTAATTTGACATATCTCTGTCTGGTATTTGACGTGAGCTTTTGTTGCAGAGGATTGTCTCTTATTGTAGTTTGCATGCTTTTTCAGGTTCAAGGTATTGTTCAGGACAGAAATGGGAAAACATTATCTACGTTACTTGGAAAATGGGATGACAGCATGTATTATATTAATGGAGACTATGGCGGGAAGGGGAAAGGTTATGAATCTTCATCAGAAGCCCATCTGCTCTGGAAGCGGAGCAAGCCTCCCAAGTTTCCCACTAGATACAATTTCACTCGCTTTGCCATTACATTAAATGAACTCACCCCTGGATTAAAGGTCTGTTCTGTTAACTGATACTTTCTTTTATGTTGTCAATCTATCTTTTTATCCTTGTTTTAGTGGAAAAAAGTTCGCTGTATTTTCCACTGCCAATTTTTACCACATATGCATGCTTGAATTGGAGTAAATTAGTACTTGCATAAGCAAGGGAACATTGCGACCATTTCTATAACACAGTAGAGCTATAAAGTATAGGATAATTTGAATGCAACAAAAGAGGACCAAAGTAGTCATACTCATATCATCACATTGTGCTTCTTGTGTGCGTGCATGCTTGGCATTTATTGGACATTGATTATCAATTTCATTTGTGCATACATAGGAAAAGCTGCCACCAACTGATTCCAGGTTAAGACCAGACCAAAGGTATTTGGAAAACGGGGAGTATGAGATGGCTAACTCTGAAAAGTTACGGCTAGAGCAGCGGCAACGGCAGGTAGCTATTTTGTATTACTTTCTTCTATATGTATTTCCTTTGACTGTACGACCACTATGAGTGCCATGGCATTGTTAGGGATTGGATCCATGTGCACATATCTGTTACAAACCCATAAATATGAACAGAGAAATCATGTGGAAGATGTAAAGAAAAAGAATGAATCTTTATTGACGGTTGCATATCAATATGAAAATGAGAGAAATCTCCTTTAAAGATTTTCCAGTATAACTGGGACATTGCTCTGTTTTCTTCATGCTAACTGCTCTTCCTCTACGTAATCCTTTTACTCATCCTTCTATTTGAGCTAAACTCTTGTCCTTACAATCTCTCGAAGTAACTAAATGTTCTAACTAAGTATCGATACTCTGTTGGAACTAACTGTTACATTTGATAATCTAACAATGTCAGATAAGGTCGGAAATTGGTGTAAATAATATGGCGTTGGATTTATGTTATATCCTTGTTTTCTAAGTAAACTGATACGAATTCCTTCCTTAATTGATACTTGGTACCTTATCACAAACTTTATTAGTTCTGGTTACTATTGATATTACATTTGTTTGAATGGGATTCAGGCTCGGAAGATGCAAGAAAGCGGTTGGAAACCACAGTGGTTTACTAGGGATAAAGCAAGCGGTACCTACCGCTACTTAGGAGGGTATTGGGAAGCCCGAGAACGAGGAAAGTGGGAGTCCTGTCCTGACATCTTTGGCCAAATTGCTTCTGATCATCTTTCAGACGAAGGTCAAATTACATTGTAGATTTTCAATTTTTTCCTCCAATTTTTTTTTTTTTTACTGATGGGTGCCATAGGACTGCTATATCGCAGTTAAGGTACCCCCGTCTAATTCATGACAGCCAATCATTTGAAAATATGAACAGGTAATAATGTAATTCTTTTTCCATTACAAGTCTCATTTTATATCATCATTATTTTTATTATTAGTAATGTGACTAAATTATAAAATTTCTTTCGACTTAGGCTCAAGTACTTGTTTTTCTAATTTTAATTGATACAATTAATCTTTAGACATAATATTCTCAAATCACACTGTTATTATTATATTTAAATGAAATAAAATTGTATATTTGACATACTTACAAAATATGCATAAATTAAAAAAAAATGTTTAATTGTTTTTCTTTCCATGTGGGTACTGATAGTTGTGGAAGAGTGCCAATAGGAAGAAAGGAGCATGAGATCTTTTGCTGTTTTAGTATATTTTCAACATGTGATATGTACAATTTTATTAACTATTTATACAATAATGATAGTTGAACTTGAGGTGCTAACTTTCGACAATTTTTTAAGTTTCAGGATTGATTGTTTAATTGAAATCTAATTTAACTAACATACTGATACTAACGTATGGAATAATAATTCGAACTTAACGCCTCGCAGGTAAGCTGCAAGCTCCCTGTCTCAAAAGTAAACTAATATTGATCGTAAGAGTACTGTGTATATGATCTTCCATTATGTCGTAGATTGCTGAAGAAGAAAAAATGCGACCGCTTGTGACCTATGGATCTCCTCCTCTGGTTTGTTGTTCCATGCTTGATGTTTCAAAGCAACCGCACCCTTCTTCCAAAGCCCAAATCCCTAGTACTATGATTTATCCTCACCACACAAACCTTCTAAAGCCCAATCCAAAAAAAGCACCAGCCCAATGGCTCCCAGTTTACCTTCTACAAGGGCTGCAATTTACTTCGCAGTCACTTATGTAGCACCGATACTGTCTCGGGACACGTGACATGATACAACACGAAACTCCGACACGTTAATTCTAAAAAATGTTAGATTTCGACACGTTAAGACACGTCTTGATATTAAATAATATTTTTAATTTATGTAATGTATATTATATTTAATATTCAGTCATTTAACAAAAAAATGAAACTAAACTTATAATATTCATCAATTTTGCAAAGAAACATAAAATATTTCAAATATTTATATTAAACTCAATAACATAGTAATCGTAATCCAACAAATCTAATAGTTGGAACTAAAAACTCAACGCAACGCAAACTTTGAAACTTTTTTTGAATTTCTATAACGCGTGTTGAAGTGTCGGGAAGTGTCAGACACGACACGTCAGGATTTTTGAAGTGTCCGTGCTTCATAGTCAGTCATTTCTTCCGCTTGACAATGAACTTGAATAATGGAAATTGTAAAAGAAGTAAGATCCTTTCGTCCTGATCAAAGAGTCTGACCCGTTTCATGATACTAGTGAGGTGCAAGACTGGGTGGACGACAGGCCTCAAATCAAATTCTATCCCGGGAGCATTGCAAAAATAGGAAACAAACGTAAAAAAGTGAATGTGGTGTATGCAGATTTTGGTACATTTCCTCTGCTGAATTGATGTTCTTTTTCTCTTTAACCTTTGGTAAACGTATTATAATAAGGTGAAATATAAAATATCGGTCGGATTTTATGGTTGGTGTACTTTAAAAATCAAGCAAAATAAGGCATGGAAATTAAAAAATTAAACATTTTGATTTTATTATTTAATATCTTAAAATATGACCACATGTTTAGTATCTCTCTTTATCACACCTTAAACCAAATTCTTAACCCCCGAGGGTAGCTCAGTTGGCAGCTGAGCTCCCAAGGGATTGCTTGGTGCAGGGATCAAACCCTGCCTCAAGCAGTTTCTTGGAAAATCTTTGGGGGCCAGAGGATAAGCCAAAAATCTTCGGTTGGGGGATTAGTCTCGTCCTTTCTCCGGTTGCGAAGCTTAGTGCACCCACTGTTACAATGAGGGGCTAGCCCAAACGGGCCGTACCCCGAGGGCATGGTGCCCGGAGAAGGTTGAATGGGGATACCTCCTGGCAATGTACCAAAAAAAAAAAAAACCAAATTCTTCACTTCTCTCTCTTTCCCTCTCACTATCATTGTTCGAAATCGCAAGCTATTTGATGTGAGAATTTTTATGGAAAATAGTTTGCTAGAAGACAGGAGACTTTGGTTAATTAATATGGGCTTTTAATTAGTTTGGAATTCCTAATCATGCCCTATAACGTGAATTATTTTTTTATTTTTTTATACATTATAACGTGAATTATTTGTAACTATTTATAAACTATGGAATCAATTATGGGTCCTAGAAATTTCCCCGTAATCCAACGGTGACGGCTGAAGTTAACAAGAGAAGCTCATGTACCTCCGATGTGTTGCTAAAGTCACAATCTAATTAAGCATCTATTGTCGTCGTTTTGCACCTCATTGTCTGATGGCCGTTGATCATCATTTATTCATTTTGGAAATGGACATCTGCAGTTTTGCGCAGTTCCTCTTACTGTAAGAAAAATCCGAGGTTGGTTGTTTTCATGTTGTAATGAATTTGGAGAGCAAGAAATTGTTGGACGTCTTTCCTTCAAATTACCGGAGAAGCGATTCAGAGGTCGGCTAGTCGAGTTCAGAGCTTAGCTTGTAGTTACCAGATAAGTCAACTCACAGCGAAATGAAAAATGCATAAATGAGAGAGACAGAGAGGTATAGTCAAAATTTTAACGTGAAATTTTTTTTCCAATGCACATGAGTAAAAATTAAAGGACATTAGTCCAGAAAATCTTTCACTATGAAAAAGAAAAATTACAAGTATTATTCAAGCTTCTCTAATTACATTAGGGGCCCGTTTGGTACGTGGATTTTTTTTTAAAGTATGGGAAAGCTCACTTAGGTAAATTGCTTTTCCACGTTTGATAGCCAAAAAGTAAACATTATCCCGAGTATATTTGTTTCTCAGATTTCGTTCAGCTTTGCAAATTTGAGATTGGATACCACCGCAACAATACCAAAGATTAGTTGGAATTTTTTGTTTGATGGGGAAGTAACAAAGAAACCGCGAAATGAAGGACCAAATTAACCCTGATGTTTGTGAAGTTTCATCAGAGCTTTGTTTAAGAAATACCCAAGGTTTGTGAAGACGATCTAGGTTGCTCCCTCCGTGTAGGTGGTCGAACGTGAGGGAGCAACATTAACTCTTGCTCTGAAAAAAAAATAGGTACACGAAGAACACAACCAAGAACAGTAGCGAGAACAAAGAAATAAGGTTTTAGGGAAAACAAAGAACATAGCAAAGAATGAGGCCGAGTATCTGGTATAGAGACAGAATTGAGGGGAAATGAGCGTTGAGAGAGAATGACGTAATGTAATCTACCTCAGTTCAAACCCAGATCTGTTTCATTTTGTCTTCAGCAACGTTCATTAGAATATTTGAATCAATTGGTAAAGGTGGGGTTATTTTGGTAAAATAACCTCACATTCCCACTAATATTTCATAACCAACCAAACACAAACTCAGTAAAATTAACTTAATTTTTTCCGGAAAATATGGGTCTACCAAACAGCTTTTTAGTAATATTCCAGTAAAATATATTTCCCACTATATTCCAGTAATAATTTTTTCTCAGATTAAATAAGATTTCTCCTATACCAAACGCCCCCTAGAGGTATACTCAAACTTCACCAAGGATAATGGTATTCTCAAACTTCTTTAAAGAGGTCTGTCTTCAAATTTCTCTCTAAAAGTATTCTCAAAATCTTACATAATCATCAACTTATTACAAATGGCTTCAGGTTTATATAGAGGTGAGTGGAATCCTCCACCTACTTCCAAAATCTTCTTCAATGATCAGTGGCAGCATTTATTGGAGGTGGTTGGGCAATCATTGAGCCCTGCACCCATTAATGAGGTGCATGCCAGCATTAAAGGAAGGAACCACCCCAACAAAATCCTCCTTTCTGACTTTAATGCGTCAAGTTCAGCAACCCAACACATTCACAGCATTCTTCAAATTTTCATGCTAATACAGCTTGGTCATCATGTCGGACCAATTCAGGTCGGTGTGCACTTTGACGAGATCGAGTTGTCCATCCTCCTCCAGATCCTTGATCCAGTGATACCTCATGTAAATATATTTAGTGCGAGAGTGATAGGTCGAGTTTTTCACTAAATGTTTTGATTATCACACATCAGCTCATATTTGTCTTGATCATAGCCGAGTTCTAGAAGAAATTTCTCCATCCACAACATTCTTTGCAAGTCTCACTAGCAGCTATGTACTCGGCCTCTGTCGTCGAAAGTGCCACATATTTTATTAATTTTGATTGTTAGGAGATAGCTCCTCCTGCAAAAGTCATCAAATATCATTTGGTCGACTTGCTCAAATCGGCATCTACCCCTAAGTTAGCATCCGTAAAGTCCTCCATCTCGGCTTTACCTTCTCCAAAGCGGAGGATGTTCCTCCAAGATACTTAAAGATCCACTTGACGACTTCCCAATGCTCCTTGTCAAGGTTATTGAGCCTTATACCCTTTAATAAAATGCATGCCAGCATTAAAGGAGGAAACCACCCCAACAGAAATAACCAGGTTTGCTCAAACAAAATCTAGGACATAGCTTCAATTAATACTCAGGAAAGTACTAACTCAGTTTGATGAGTTCCTACTTTATAGTCTGTTTAGTTGGAGTGTGTTTCTTTTAGCCTTCTTTAATTCCTAAGGTGTGCTACCAGCAGGTGGTTATGTTTATGCCAGTGTACGTCCTGTCCTGATCATGTTTGGTTTTGTTTTGTGACTAGATCTTGTATCTGTGTTTTCATTCATAATGAAAGCTGCGTATCTTTGTGGTTTTTTTTTTTAAACCTTCAAAAAAGAAACATGATGTTTCTGCACATAGAACACTATGTCGACCAATATGTCCAAGTTTACCTGTTAGACAAGGAACTATAGCTATCTGTTTTTCATCACACTAGACTGTTTCTTTCTTGTATTTGAGAGTATTACCCATTTCAAAGGGAACAAAAAGTGGCCGAGTGTGTGTGTCTGTAGTAGGAAAGCTCCATGTATGTGCTGTTGTTTTCAAATTCTTCAATAAGCATACTTGAGATTTTGACTTTTGAACCACTGCTGATCTAGGAATAGGAAGTTTTCCCTAGT